GCCCGGCCCTGGCCGCCCAAGCCCCCCCCCCTGACGGCCACGTCCCCCTGCCCCGCTCCAGGCAGCTCCCCCACGCTCCGGAGAGCCCCGTGGCCGCCCTGAGCCCTCTGGAGAAACGGGCCATCAACCTGACCTGGGCCAAACCCTTCGACGGCAACAGCCCCCTGCTCCGCTACGTCGTGGAGGTCTCCGAGAACAGTAAGATGGGGCTCCCGGGGGCACGGGCGCTCTCCGTCCCATCCAGCTCATCGGCAGAGGGAACGCTGGGGATGAGGGGGAGACACAGTGGTGGGCAATGAGGAGGGACACAGTGGCAGCAAGGTCAGGAAGGGGACAAGAGGCTCTGGGGGGCTTGGGGACCATTCAGCTCTTCCCTAGAGCTTCTGTGGGGTAGGGGGCCCAGGCGTCCGGCCAGCTGGGTCCCCCACGGCGCTGTCCCGCCGTCCCCTGCTCAGACGCGCCCTGGACGGTGCTGCTGGCCAGCGTGGACCCCGCGCTCACCTCGGTGGCCGTGAGGGGCTTGGTGCCCGCCCGCTCCTACCAGTTCCGCCTGTGCGCTGTGAACGACGTGGGCAGGGGCCAGTTCAGCAAGGACACGGAGAGGTGAGACGTGGCCGGGGGACTGGGCACGTTGGTGGCCTCGGGTCCCTCACCCGTGTCCCATCCCATCACAGGGTGTCCCTGCCCGAGGAGCCGCCCTCGGCGCCCCCCCAGAACGTCATCGCCAGCGGCCGCACCAACCAGTCCATCATGATCCAGTGGCAGCCGCCCCCGGAGAGCCACCAGAACGGTGTCCTCAAGGGCTACGTGATCCGGTGAGCGGCCGGTGACGTCCCTGGGTGTCTGCGGGGACGCTGGCCCTGCTGACGGCCCCTCGTGCCCAGGTACTGCCTGGCCGGCCTGCCCGTGGGCTATCAGTTCAAGAACATCACCAGCGCCGAGGTCAACAACCTGCTGCTGGAGGACCTCATCATCTGGACCAACTACGAGATCGAGGTGGCTGCCTACAACAGCGCTGGCCTGGGCGTCTACAGCATGAAGGTGACCGAGTGGACACTGCAGGGAGGTACGTGGGGACGGAGCCTCCCTGCCAGCGCTTGGCCGCTGCCCAAGCGGGCATTGCCGGGCAGGGGGCATGGAGGGATGGTGCATTGGGGACAAGGGCAGCATGGAGGGATGGGCACATGGGGACAGGGGCACGCCATGAAGGGCAGTTGCATGGGGACAGGGATGCACCATGTGGGATGGGCACAGGGCTCCCGTTGACACCAGTCATGGGCTGTGGATCCCAAGGGCAAGGTTGGCACAACCACGGGCCTCACCCCAACCTGGGGTGCTTCGCCCGGGGGCTCCCTGGCCGAGGGTGCTCCCAGGCCAGGCAGGTGCCAGAGCTGCCGCGAGCCCATCCGTGTCCTGGCAGTGCCAACGGTGCCCCCGGGCAACGTGCAAGCTGAGGCCACCAACTCCACCACCATCCGCTTCACCTGGACCCCCCCCAGCCCCCAGTTCATCAACGGCATCAACCAGGGCTACAAGGTGAGGGGCCCTGCGAGCCGGCCTCATTTTTCGGTGCAGAATCTCCCAGCTATTCTAGTAGCTTCCAGCCCGAGCGTTAAAATAATATTTACTGAGGTTTAACACTTGCATGGCCTCCGTGCCTCCCACGCTCTGTAATTAATTTGCAAATAGCAATTAATTCAAATTTACGTTAATTAAATTGAATTAAAACATTAAACTTGTTTCTTAATCCACTCAAAAGAAGTTGAGGAACTTAATTGCCGCTGAGCGAGATAACCGGAGCGAGCAGGATATTTAGCGTCCTTATTAAACGCCACTTTAGGATTTCTGATTAGTATTTTTAGGGCCTAATTAGAGCTTAATTAAGTTGCTACGTGCTCTCTTGTGCGACGGCAAGGGAGCGCACGGGGATCCCCCGTTGGCGCGGG